CATTAAAGAGGTAAGATCTTACCATAGTAACCGTATAAAACAGTTGCACCCGCAAGATAAATAAAGGGCCTCAATCAAAATCTGTGATGAACAGATCAGCAGCTGCTTTTCAAAGAAATACTTCTCTTTCTATCAGTTAGCACGTGGTCGGCAATATAACCAATGCACCAATGAGCAGTGCCCGTGGCGATTGTGACGTTTTACCATTCTGTAACTTCAGTTCCTACTGCAGCAAGCAGTTTCGTCCACGTGTACCGTCATTTGTCTGTTTATGGGCCTTCGGCAAGAAAACATCGGCATTAGACTCTTTTGCGGACGTTTACAGTCACTATGAGGGCATTGCAAGCAGAAAGCACTGTTGGCAGTATTGCCACCTAGAAAAGTGACAATTTCGCGGTTGCCGGCGACGTCAGCGATCGGAAGCAATCTAATGAGTTAGATGCTCTGTAGGGGACCATTAAATGGAGACATACTTTGTTTCGGCATGGAACATTACCTGTCTATAGCACTAAGCAACACTTACCATAAATCTGACACGTAATCAATCGCCAATCTGCTCAATCATCACTAATTTCGGTTATTGTGCTGCCCAGATATATCTTAGCTGCACATGAAATTGGAATAACTTAGTATAAATTGAAAACATTTTATTTCTGGATGTCCTCAATTCTTTCATTAAACTTGCCTTTGTCCAGTTAACATCTACGCATACTTGAGAATTTTTGTTCCAAAACTGGTGCTAACTAATTTTTAAGTAAAATGCCACAACTGGTTAGTTTTTCAGTATGAAGCGACATTCACGGGCTTTTACAAATGTAAACATGGCTGTAAATTAATATAAATGCCAGTAATATTTCTTTAATTTCGGTGGCAGAAGTTAGACAGCATGTGAATGAAAATTTTTAGCGGCAGCCATTACGATTGACTCGAATAACGCTCAAGTTATACGGACAACGATCAGCTACAATAATGCATGGCAGGATATGGCGAATGCGATGACAACGCTGGAACGTAAAGTTAACAAGGATTCCCAAAAGGTAAGAAAAACAGTTTTGTTAAAACTTCTTAACTCATCATTCAGAATTCACTTGAAAATCACTTACGACTAGAGTCTACCGGGCATAGCATAAGTAATGGTTTGCTTCTGCAACCCGATGATCAAGTTTTAGGCGATGTCACTGACAGACGCAATATCGGTATGAAAATATTAAAGTATGCATGACGTTTTCGTTGACTCGCTTGTGGGCTTCAATCAACAAATCATACGTGTATGCATTTGGTTGTCCGTTTGGTTGACTCCTGTTCCCATGAAATTGCTTGTTTTCAGTCAAGCTGACCGTCCTCAAAATGGGACACTTTTGATCCTCTAAGGCGTGGTCCAGTCTTTGGGTTGCAATCAGTTCTTGAAACCGCAATGAGGGAGAAAAACGGACTCAATCATGCAGCACGATATTATCGGTCTTTTAATGTAGTAATGAATATACTTCAGTTTCATTCCGCAGGCTTGTGACACCTTTTTAACCCATCATCAAAATTTCAACACGACCCTTCAGCACAGATCTCATTGCCATCGTTTTGCACCTTCAACCCAAAATATGACGTTTCTTCCACCTTAGAGAAAACATATTGTCATTAAGTTTATTCTTGGAACTGGTCTTAGTTGTCTTCCTCTATTTCTACTGACTTTCACGTTCTTAATCTTGATTCTACGGATCGCAAGAAGATCTGTTTTTGATTAGCAAACTAAGTAGAAAGCACTTTAATATTCATATTTCTGAAGCTGATAACATGAGAACTGTCCATACTGGTGAGAAACCGTTCAAAATAAGACTTTTAATTCTGAATATTAGACATTTTCAGCCGCATTGCTCAAAGGTGCCAAATTTACTTCCAGTGACTTGCAATTAATGAAGTGAACATTGTTCGTTCGTCATTTCGGATAAAGCATGAAACATCTGAGCAACTAGCCAATTGTTCTAGCATCGACAAATAGATAGTTGAAAATTAGTAGCAAGTTTGAATGTGCAGTAAGCAAAAAAATTTTAAAAATAAGTAAAAGCAATATCCAAAGAATTTCCAACGAGTTAGTGACCAAGGATTGACATTGAATAAAAATGACTCTGTCCACAGCTGTATTGGAATCATGGTAGAACAGTCGCTGCCGGTGTTTTGCAAGAAAATTACGGAGAACATACAGAGAAAATAATGAATACTGCTGTAGAACGTAAGTGATGATACGCCTAAGTATTTCCGCATATAACCTGAGGCAGTAGGACGTAGTAATTGATTAACAGTAATGAGTTACACAAAGCAAGTTGCCAGTTCAGTAGTCGAAACCTTTAGGCGCTGATCAGAATCCTAGTCGACCGCAATCCATTTCCATAATGCCTTTGTGGCCTTAGCGCGAAACTTGTACAAACTTTCTATAATTTCATCACCTGTGTGATGAATTAGTAGCTTTAAGATCAGTAAGTGTTGTCACGCCTTTTAGACTGCAAACCCCACTGATGTTCAACAAAAGCCAACTTGCAGTGAGCCAACAAACTGGACAGTTTATTTATTCCTCACCTCGGAAACTATATAAGCTTTGGGCATAGAAGTTTTGGGCAGCTTACATCGATGAATGATAACAAAAACGGCAACAAGTTTACCTTGAAAATACAAACCTAGATATTCAACTGTTAACACACCCCCAAAACGTTAATTAGCAGGTTGTTAATTGCATATACCTGATACATTATGTCATATTTAGCTAATAGTGTAATGATATACTGTAAAATCAATGGCTTGTTTTCTATCCTGAAGAAGGCTCCTATTATATGTCCGAAACGTTAACAACTTTCTAATAAGAGTATCATACTATCAGTCTATGTCTTTGCCCTGAACCACTGATCGAAACTAAGAAGAATTAGTTAATATTGTTTTTATCGTATTTTTCAATTCAATTAGCATTTTAGTTATCCGATTTCTAATAATTTAACCATTTTCTACAAGGCAGGAAATTTTTCAGTGGCTTAAACATAAAATATATCCTGATGGGTATTTATTGCCTTATTTTGATGATTAGGGAATGTTTCTATTATTTTCTAGCAGAATTAAAATTTCGTGTGAATGTGTTAGAGAAACTGAAGAATTTTCGTGTCCTGACCTTTACTGCTGATCACGGACAAAGGTACACTTGCGTTTCAAACGGGATTTTTAAGGAAACGGCAGAAGGACTACTCACTAAGACAAAGGGTAATACTTGCATTTAAATGAGTGTGCTTAAAAGACGATTTTCAAGTTTTAGTTCCGCGTCTAACACGCGGTTCTAAAGCAAGAAGGAATTATGACGTAGCAGAAGGTCAACCGTTTACACTTGGATGCCCCGTGATCGGTTTCCCTAAGCCTGAAGTGATTTGGATCGTCAATGGTCAGACGTTGAACCACTCTAACTTCGGCGTGTACAACCTGCAGGTTTCAGATGGTGGAAAAAAGGTAAGCATTTGAATTCAGGTCTGAGGTAGCTTTCTGATTATAGTTGCACGCTACTGAAGCAACGAAAGATCATCAAGGGATATACGCGTGCTTAGCGTTCAATCACGTCGGATCTACTCAAGCACAAACCGCTCTAAACGTGATCGGTATGTCCACTGTATTCTTTACTTCCCAAGTCATTCAAGTTTTCTAGCTGCTCCAAAGCTTGGTCGAAATGAAACTATTCGTTCCCTCGGTAATATGGTTGTAGCAATCAGTTGCCAACCAACGCCAAACAGCAATGATATGCATATTTCATGGCATAAAGTGAGTCGTGCGTCGGCAGTTGAATCGACTAATGTTCATAGCATCGAATGCTTAACCGGTTCAACGTCATTCTGTCGTCTTATAAGTAGAATTTTGTAATAGATTGTGATTTATGTGCGCAAATTGTTCCTGATATGGTACAACTGTTTGTCCTTGATCATTTTGACCAGTCAGCAATCGGAGACGAATCGCGCAGCACGCCTGCCATTCTTGCAGCTTTTCGGGTTCTTCCTCCACGTGCTGCCTTGGCGGTTCCTTGCATGATCCTCCCACCGTCGTCATTGGCGACTAAGCTGCCTAATCCATCTGCGAGGATACTAGTCGACGATCATCGCTGACCATCTACCTTCCAAATGTAGCTTCTCTCTTCTCCGCTCGACTACAACATCCGTCACTCCTGTCATCCATCTGATCGCGATGTTGGTAACGTGGTACGACGTGAACTTGTTGACGATCTTGTTTCCTTGGCTCTCTCGGCTGGAAAGAGCTGGCGCTCTTCGGCCTTAGAGAGCGATCATGTCTCACAGTAATACACATTGGATCTTTTACTTCGTTGAACCTCTCCGACCTAATCATATCGTATGCTGACCTCATCGCTCGGTTAAATGTGTTTATCGACTTCGGTCTTTTCACCGTTTAATATTACGAGACAGGGCATCCGACCTTCGTCTTTGCCCAATTGATTTGCAGTCCAACTTCCTCATCGCTTCTCTCGAGCTCCTGCAAAATGTCATGTAGAATACCTCATCCTCATCCGCAAACAGCACTTCGTCATCAGCGAACTTATATGACTGAGATACTCACCGCTGATGTTAATCTCACCTTTTTAGTTCAGTCTTCGAAACGTCATTTCCACACAGGTCGTGAATGGTTTGGGGCAACTGCTGCTCCCTTATTTCATGCTTTCTCTGCGGCAGTCAGAATCGGATATTGCTCACCGCGATGACTGTGAAGCGGCCAGAGTTCGCTTCCTTTAGAAGGTTATATAACGAGTTTCGGTCTCCTGTTCCGCCAGTGAAGTCCACGTTGCATTATGCTCTACGGTGTTGAATTCTCCCTCACAGTCGGCAAAGGCTATGCAGAGAGAGAACTGAGATTCCCTAATGTGCTCGAGGAGTTGACTTAAGGTAAAGATGTTATCCGCATCCGTAAAGACTGCGTCCGTTGCGCTGTGGCTCCTCCAGAATCAGGCCTGTTCTTCTTTTATGTTGTTCATTGAGACTTTTTGACAGTTTTTGGTGATGATCTAAGTGAACAGCTTGTTGATTTCTGAGGGCAGACAGACTTGGTGATGGCTCTTCAGATCTTCCTTTTCGTCCATCTTCAACAACACCATCGTTTTGGACTCCTTCCAGCTCAGTGGTATTTTTCCCGTTTCGAGGTAGCAACTGAACCTCTCCGTTAGATCTCTACACAGAGTCTGTCCAGCTGCTCTGATCATTTCAATTGTCAGAACGTTTCTCCCTGGGACTCTTGCTTCCTTCACTTGCAACGCGACATGCCGAATTTTGCTTATGAAAATCGGGAGAGCACTTCTTTCTGTCCGTTGTTGTGATGTTGGTAAAGGGGGACACGTGTCTTTAACGCCAAGAACTTGGTGCAAAAGTTGTGGCAAACATACTGTATCTGAGCACTGTTAGACTTTGATGAGACATGCCCCTTCTTCAACACCGTGATGGTCAACAGTTAGAGCGCTAACTCTCTCCTGCCTAGTTCGAGGCTTCTGTGGCCTTCGTCTGTTTTCTCTAATTTCGCACTCAGAAGGTCTCGAAACCTTCCTTGAGATTCCATCTAATGAGCTTGCAGAGAAGAAAGTACTCTACCGTGTCGGTCTTTTCTACCTCCTTCGCTTACCTAACAAACTCTTAGTATCTTCTGAAATCCTTCTTTTAGCCCCTTATTACAACCTCGGTTGGCTTTGCGCACCACCTCGGTTTCTCAACGAACTACTCGTAGTCGTCGTCGCAGCTGCCTTTCCGGATCTAACCTTCGCTGGAAATGAGCGATAGAAGCACCACCTCGCCGATACCCTCGGTCGTTGTCTGCTCTTAAGCATTTACAGTACCGTCCTCTCCTTCTTTTCGAACATTACCCTCCCCCGTATTAGTCTTTGCTCATTCCGGTGTTAAATCATAGCACTGCTGCCATTTTTCAGATGACGCGGGGTTGATGGAATAGGATGAAATTGACCTCGTTGTTCGTCGCCGCACTGGCCGCGATCCATATCCATTTCTTGTTTGTTTTCTTCTTGGATCAGATGCTGCCGGTGTACATGTGCTTCGTTTCTGGAATCATCACCAGCCGATTTCCTCGCTTATTTTGCTCTCCGGTACCATATCTGCCAACAGATTTTTTACTTGCCCAGCCATGGCATTGAAGTCTTCCATGACGAGGATATTTAAGCTTCGAGACCAATGCATGTCCCAGCTCATGCCAGAATTCTTCTACTTCCCCCACATCAGCTGTGCATGTGGTAACATAAGTATGGAGATCTTAAAGGTCATCGTCTTGTTCACTATGAAGCACGGCAGGCCCAATCTTAATGAATTCACATTGAAAAAGACGATTTTGGGAAACAGCTTTTGCTGATCGATTCTAATCCGATTCCTCTTATGTTCTTTGCGCCTTCATCTCTTTCCAGTCAAATCGAACTGCCGCGTTTCCAGACGCCATTAACCCCCTTTTCGCGTGGTGCCTCACAGAAGAAACGGTAAGGAAAGTTTGTCACCGTTGGAATGACAGCCTTCCTTCACTTTCATGATTGAGCCATTTTGGTGATCGTCTTTTCATGACGTTGATGGTGCGGTGGTGATTTCTCTTTCTGTACTATCAGTCTTAACAAAGAATGCCTTGCAAATTTTATTTTTGAAGGCATAGTTTACCGCTGTGTAACAAGCGTTGCGTAAACTCCACTGTTTCCTTCCGTGGAGTAGTATTAACTACGGAAGGAAGAAAGCAGAGTCACTGTGACCTGGGCTTGAACTCGAGATCTCTCGGTTTTGAGTTTGACGCTCTATCTACTGAAGGAATGTGAGGGATAAGTTTCTTGCTCAAGTGAATTCATAAATAAGATTAAGCCTGCCGTCGAACACAGTTTAACCCGGCACTTCCGTAGTTCAAAACAGACCTCTTAGACAACTGCGCGAACATTCCACAGAGGCCATCCCAGACATTTTTTCCATCAGCTAATTTAACGTTTCTTCCATAGCCAGTGTTCTGCAGTTGTAAGTGCAAAAGGTGAGGCAAATCCGAGTCGGTTTACCGGATGAGGATTTTCAGCTGGGATTCTGAGCAGCCGACTTCATGCTCCCACTGGCGGTGTCGTTCTCGTGGAGCCTTTCGTGATGTGCTCTAATGGCTTCGAGCTGTCTGTCTCCTCCGTTCAGAACCAGTTGCTGACTAGTATCTTCGTCGTCGTTGCGTCGGTCTTCGTCAGCCGTCGTTGTGCTACCACGCCCCCGGCTGGCAGAGGGCAATGAGCAGATTCTGATCGCCGACTTTTCGCAATCTGCCTCAGTCCCTCAGCAGCCTCCGCGGCGCTTGGTAACGCGGGTGACTACCCAGCCGGTATGATTGCTTGCTGTCTCGTCTAGTCGTTGATTTACCGACGTCTAACCACAAGGTAGCAGTGACATTTGCGGTCTTTTTCAGAGGGATGGGTAGCTTTCACCCGGACATGAGATTCTCATTGCGCAGTATGGTTTTCTCTGTGAGGATCAAATTTGTTTAGCTGAAACCTGGCTACACCCTGGTCGTCTCACTGCTACCTCTCTGTAGATGTTTATTCTCGCAGCCAACCTCTATACCTGGAGATCCTCAACCCGGTGACTTGATGTGAACCAAAATATTCGTGGAGGCTAATGAAGTTTGTGCAATCATGTCTATGTAAAACATAATCAATAATTCGTATCTATCGTTGCACCGTGAAGTCTTTTGGCGACTTATAACTAGTACTTCGCATTTATCGTAACGGAAAAGTGTTATCGTCGCTTCAGAGAAATGACGATATGAATACCGACTTTGGACAGCTTTTTTACGACGATGTTTTATGTTTTGACGACTGCAGCTGCACAGCGGGTCGTATCTTCAGTTCGCTTATGGTTGTCACGCCGCTCATATTCTCAAAGAGAGAAGAAATGCTTCTACCCTACTTTTGCCTTTACGCATGACAGGTCTTTACAAATGTTTAGAGGCTATGGGACGGATACTCCAATCGTATTGATCCCTCTCTGCCTGCCATTACACGAGATTATGAACATGAGATTTATGCGAACGTCGTACGTATAAATATAATTTTTACACCCTATGACTGTTCACAATGTTAATTTATGTGCAGACGAC